AATCAGTAGCAAGTTGCTTTGAACAGTCAGCCGTTTGTGGAAACCTAGACAATAGAAGTCACACAGTTTTTCTTCGAACACAGTTGGTTCTCACGTTTGTGTCCATTTTGGCCTTGGACACCTCCTGGTTCATGAGTGATTTTTAGAGAATTCATGTTTACCTAATTCTCTTAGAAGCGGCCCCTTCTCACTCACATAGGTGATTTCCATAAAGAGTATTCTGCTATACTCCACTTGAACAAATCAAGATATAGAAATCATTAAAAGCGTATCTTAACCTATTTCGCGGCAGCTGGGCACTGGCTCATCATAGGAATGGGTAGAAGTAAAATCTTCCCAGTGCATACTAAGTTTTTCACATTTCGGTTGTCCCATTGAACCTAGATCTTGGGATCTCCAGTCAACTAGGTTGGGTTGCCACCATGGAAATTTTTTATTATTTTATTAGTTTTAATCCCATCCCCTTCGATGAACTTTTGACTTGCTCTCTTGTTAAACTTTTAGTTAGCGGATCCGCAATATTCTCTTTTGATTTCACATACTCTATAGAGATAATGCCTGTAGAGAGCAATTGTCTAACAGTATTGTGTCTACGACGTATATGTCGAGATTTATCGTTGTACATTGTATTTTGTGCCCTTCCAATTGCTGATTGACTATCGCAATGGATGCATATAGCAGGCACTGGTTTTATCCAACATGGAATATCTTCTAGAAAGTTTCGTAGCCATTCGACTTCTTTTCCAGCTTTCCAGCTTTGTCTAATGCAATGAATTCAGATTCCATTGTTGATCTAGCTATACATGTCTGTTTTGAAGATTTCCATGATATTGCAGCACCTCCAAGTGTAAAGACATATCCACTTGTTGATTTGGAGTCTTTAGTATCTGATATCCAATTTGCATCACAGTATCCTTCAAGTACTGCTGGATATCTCGAATAGTGTAATCCAAAGTTTTGGGTATGTTTTAAATACCCTAAAACTCTAACAATAGCTTTCCAATGATCAGTGCTTGGATTACTTGTATATCGACTTAGCCTACTAATTGAATAGGCAATATCAGGTCGAGTGCAATTCATGACATACATTAAACTGCCAATGATACGAGAGTATTCCAATTGAGACTTACTATCACCAGTATTGGAAACAAGATGCATACTAACATCCATGGGTGTTTTCATAGGAATAATATTATATTTCTTGAATTTATCAAGAATCTTCTCAATGTAGTGTGATTGAGACAATATGAGACCATCAGATGTTCTAGAAATTTTAACAGTCGGCTAACAGTCGACTGTTTGGTCGGTTACTTTAACGCTTATTATTTCATTCAATTTTAAATGGTTTTCGATAAATAAATATATCACGTTAATCATCTCGCGGAGTAGAACGTGAATATGCTAGGTCCCGTATTATTTAAAAGGTGGGTCCCACTGAAATTTGGGCTCAAAGTTGACCCACTAAACCATTTTTTTTTTCCGACAGATGCTCAATGTGCAAATACGAAATCATTGTAAAAAAAGGAAAAAAAAAAGAAAAAGGAGGAGTCAAAGTGAAAATTTCAGAAGTTGATTCTGTCCCAAAAAATGAAGAAAAAGACAAGTCAGATGTGAAGTTCCCAGTTAGATAAGGAAATCTTCCTCTCTACGGACGGTTTTTTCCGGCGAATTCGACGGCGACTGGTAAATCCCCCTTTTCTCTGTAAAGTTTATCTTGTCTTAAAGAAAATTCTGAAATATTTCTCTGTATATACGGCAAATTACCAATATAAATCTTGGAGTTTAATCAGTGTTCTTTTGGCTATTTATAGACTTGTTCGTGGCCATTCGAACAGTCATCACCTTTCAGACAAGTCTCAAAAATCCGAACAAACATACTGTTCTTAAAACTCGTGTCTGTTAAGTCGGTTAACAGTCGACTGTTTGGTCGGTAAACAGTCGACTGTTTGGTCGGTAAACAGTCGAAACAGTCGAATTTCAGTGTTTTTGGAAGTTCTGTATGTACTTGTATTTTGCCTTTTTGTTTGTAGTGGCATGTTTCAAAAATATTAATACAATTTGTTTGTACATCCATTCTTTTTGCATCTGAATCATCATAATAATTTGTGTGTAACGAGCAGCAAGGTGATGCTCACAGCTTCCCGTAGTTAGTCTAGTTTTCTAGTTACCCCTAAATCGTGATATGTGAGTAGCCATAGGTCGATAAATGGAATGCTAAAGCCCTTCGCAAGGGAGTTCCATTTAGTCCCGTTCCTGAGAGCGATTTCCTTCTTTAGGGACCTTTCATGCACTGATTTTGTGTGAGCTTCAATGGTCTCAATTGCAAAACACTGTGTTTGTGTACAAATCATCATGATAATTTGTGTTGATAATGCACATGTGTTTCACCGTGTCAATTGGAAACGACTTGTGTTTGAATCTTTGTAAATCTATTATCTTGGGTGAAATTTTTGAATAACTAACTCGTATATGTGTTTGCACCATGCACGTGTTATGGCATATGCAAACTGGATAAGTTAAGGATCTTCTTAGAATGTTGGGTTTTTACTGAAGTAAATAGGTGATGCCAAAGCTAGGTATAGTTGCTAAAGCATGAAGTACTATAAAAATATCATGCATATACTATGTGCTTGGGGGTTGTATTTTCATTCTAGCAGCTGCTCTGGGTTTTTACCAAAGCATTATGCTGCAAATCGCATTACCATTATTATTCTAATAGTGTGACTTGTATGAAACTCTTTAGTAATTTGTAATTTTTGGCTTCAAATTGATGCTACGGCCACTTCAGCCTGTTTTAGTGCGTGTTTGTCTATTCCTAAAAAGGTATACGTTAGTAACTTGTTTTGCCAAGCATACTTTTAAAACATTTATACCTTTGTCTGCAGCAGCTAGCTTTTGCTTTTCGCGTTCTTTTAATGATAGTTCATTGGAAGTTCACTCTGAAGAGCAGGAAGTGATAATTGCTGTGGGAAGTAACGTGGGTGATAGACTTCATAATTTTGATGAAGCCTTGCAGCAGATGAAGAAATCTGGCATCCAGATTACTAGGCACGGTTGTTTATATGAGACTGAGCCTGCTTATGTGACTGATCAGCCTCGTTTTCTCAATTCTGCAGTTAGAGGTGTTACAAAACTCCAACCTCATGAATTGTTAAAGGTTCTAAAGAAAATCGAGAGGGACATGGGTCGTACTGTTGGAATTAGGTATGGTCCAAGGCCAATTGATTTGGATATATTGTTTTATGGGAATCACACGGTTAACACCGATATTCTTACAATCCCGCATGAAAGAATTCAGGAGAGACCTTTTGTAATGGCTCCGTTAGTTGATCTATTGGGAACTGATATAGATGATTATACAATTAAATTGGAAAATTTATTTTCCAAACGTTCCGGTGGACTTTTTGAGACATGGGAGAAACTAGGCGGCGAATCACTCATTGAAAAGGACGGGATGGAAAGGGTCGTGCCTATTGCAAATCAGTTACGAAATTTTTCGTCAAAAACCTCTATTATGGGTATCCTTAACGTGACCCCGGATAGTTTTAGCGATGGGGGAAAGTATTTATCCACACAGTCGGCCGTTTCTCAGGTTCAACTGATGCTATCGGAAGGGGCGGATATTATTGATTTAGGTGCACAATCAACCCGACCAAAGGCATCCAAGCTATCTGCTGAGGAAGAATTGGACCGACTTATCCCTGTCCTAGAAGCAGTCAAAAATATGCCCGAGATGGAGGGAAAGCTTCTATCTGTGGATACATTTTATTCCCTGGTTGCTGCTGAAGCAGTCAGCAAAGGGGCTCATCTTGTCAATGATGTGTCCAGTGGACAGCTTGACTCGAGCATGCACAGTGTGGTTGCAACTCTCAAAGTTCCCTACATTGCAATGCATATGAGAGGCGATCCATCTACAATGCAGAATAGCGAGAATCTGGAATATGATGATGTCTGTAAGGAAGTTGCACACGAGCTATACACACGGGTTTTTGATGCAGAGTTATCAGGTATACCGGCTTGGAGGATTATTATTGATCCCGGAATTGGATTCTCAAAGAATACTGAACAAAATTTGGACATTCTTATGGGATTGCCAATCATTCGATCTGAGATTGCTAGGAGGAACTTTGCTGTGTCTCACGCTCCGTTATTAATAGGACCTTCGAGAAAGAGATTCCTTGGTGAAGTATGTGCGCGACCTGCAGCTGCCGAAAGAGATCCAGCAACTATTGCTGCAGTCACTACTGGGGTTCTGGGAGGTGCAAATATTGTACGTGTGCACAACGTTAAATATAATCGAGATGCTGTGAAGCTTTGTGATGCAATGATGGACAGGAAGGGATCTTACCCGTGTCAAGGAAAACGTTAACAACATTATTTTGTCTTTTCTTAGTACCTGTTTGGCGTGACTTTTGTTTCTTATAGAAGAGTTTTTGGCGAAAGCTACCTTTATTTTTGTTTGAAAACTAATATTTAAAAGAGTTTCCTATTCCGAATGTGCTTTTAGAGGAAACTATATTGGACCAACTTCCTCTAAAAACTCTTTTAACTATTAGAAGTACTTCCGTTTAACCAAATGGGTCCAAAAGTAATTTTTGAATTTCAAAAGCTCATTTTGGCCCTTTAAAAGCCATTCTAAACAGGTCCTCAGTACTTTACTACTATTACATCCATGGCACTGATAGCTTTAACATTTAATCACAAAGACGTGTATGGTACACTTGATTGGATAGGATTGTACAACATAATGAACACAATCTCAACTTTTTTTTAGTATTAAGTGATGAAATCTCCAGGCATAATTTTATTTTGTTCTATCGTTGTGAATAGTTGTGCAAGCCTGTGCTTTTGGCTTAAAATGTAGTAAAAATTTATGGGCAGATATGAAAAACTATGTCATACGATTAATGTTGATAGAATCTAAATGTTGTCTATGAAGAAGCCGCAATTCTTCAACACGCTGAATCTGCATTTTGCATCCTTGTAAGATAGAGCGATGAAATTGGTCATGAAGAACCAAGTTATAAGCTCGAAACTTCCCAAACACAACAGTTCAAGTAAATAAAATCTATTAGGTTAACATCGATGGTAACTGCAACTCCCCCTTAAAAAGTATCCCACCTTTCTCCTCCATGGAAAACATGTCGCCTGCTGATTCAAAACTAAGCAGCATTCTGCATCAGTACCTCTGCTTCAGCCTTGGCCATGGGATCATCCTTGGCATCTTCATCCTTTTCACCTTCTCGCTCCTCGGCCATTTTCTTGCGGTGTAATTCTTCAGCTTCCTGCATTGCAGCCCGGTTCTCTGCTTGAAGCCGCTGCATTTCCTCCTCCTGCTGCTGTCTTTCGAACCATGTATCAGCATCTGCCCAAACTGTAGATTTAACAGAAAGAACAAGTTAGCATTAAATCAAGTATTAAAAAACCGGCACCTCATTGAAAAGGCAAGAAGGTAAACCACTAACTTCAAGGAAAAAATAAACCGAACTGTCTATCACACATGTGAGCAGAATTATTAACACAAATGGTACACAACACAAAGCATGCTGAGAGTTTGAATATGTGGGTGTCCTCCATCGAATTCAGAAACAATTCACAGAGATTATTAAGCCTATAACTTGAAATTGAAAACAGCAGTAAATTGAAGTAATATTGAAAGATAAAGAACTGAAACTGACTAGATTTGTTTGTATATGCTGCAATATATAAGAAAATGCAAATGTAGATCCACCTTGTCTAATTCCTTTCTAGTAGAGACCTGAGTTCGCTTCACTCCCTACACCACCCACATTGGCAGTAGGCAGTCAAGTCTCGTTTCACAGCAACTAAGACGGACATCTTAACCTATAGACTAAATGAACATATTTCCTGTTTCTCGTTTCTTATTGCTAAGGACAATGACAGTCTCAGCAAGATTAGGTATTTCATATCTCAGTGAAACTTCACAAAATAGGTAGCATATAAAACTTACATATATACCAGATACATTACAAAGACTCTTGATGTTTAAATAATATTATATTTACAGAAGCTCAGGAGACTTTCTCAATCTAAGATTCCACCATACTTGCTCGTGCCCCTCTCATATTTGCTCTAAGAATACAAACCAGCTTGGTATTGTGAAAAGCTGCTCAAATATGAATTAGTATAATTTATTGCTAGTTAATTTTGTGAAAGAATTTCGAAAGGAAAATTACTATTCTATTGCACTAAGCAATTTCTAGCATATAAGACGTTAAGATTAAGGAGAGCTTGAGTATGATTGTCTCTTTATTTATTTTTCGAGTAACGGCAAATGACCCAGCTAGAAAATTTTCAATTCTATCTAAAAAGATAATAAATTTGAATACTGCAAAATGCAGGAAAGATTTAGAAATCCTAAACCTAGAAAGCTGCAAAGATTTAAAAGAAAAACAAAGCAAAAATTTCAACATTCATGAGCTCAAATTCCAGCATAAAATATATAAAAAAGCAAAATTAAATTCGAAGTCTAAGCATAGCGTTCAAATAAATCAATAGAGATAAGAGCCCCAAATTATAGTAAAAAAAAACCCAAAAGAATTTCACAACACATTGACTCGAACAGATATTATAGCTCAATTACTGAATACCATCCTGCCAAAAAGAAACCTCAATTGGAATATCGAGCAGAGATTGTAAACCCAAAATGCATTCAACAAAATTTTCCACACCAAATAACAAGAGAATAAAAAAATAAAAACTCACTAGGCTGGGCGGCCCATCCTTGTTCACCACCCTTGATTTTCTCTGGTAGAGCATAGTTAACGGTGAGTACACGGCCGTAAAGCTCCGCCCCATCCATATTGTCCATGGCGGCGGCCGCGTCCTCTCTCTCCAGGAAAGTGACGAACCCGAACGAGCGGTGCTTCTGCGTGGCCTGATCCAGTGGTGTCTTCACATCCTTAATATCTCCAAAGGGTATGAACGCTGCGTGAAGGATGGATTCGTTCACTTCCTCCGCTAAACCACCCACGTAGAGAGTGTTCTTCTGCACTCCCTGATTCATTATTGTATCATCAAATTATGCTCAATTGCTCTTGGAATCTGAATTTATACTTGCGATTTTTTGCTCTTTTCTGGGGATTTTGGAGAATTAGGGCAATAAGCTGAAGAAGAAGGCCCACTCGGCCCCACCGCTTGTCAACTGTACTGTTATTCTGTTAACATATATTTGTATAAAAAAAAGAAAAAGAAAATTAGTTCATTTGTTTTCCAAAATAAACTATTTGATCCCTATATTTTCTGGAATTGTGCTCACCCAGGTTGAAAATTGAATCGTTGGGACTTTGGACCCATTTTCATATTTACAATCAAGATCCTCCATGACTAGCATCTTTTATCGTGTGTGATGATACTATGATGGATGATTTTTTATTGATGGTAAATACTAATCCATTGATCACTTACATCTAGCTATATTAGATGAGATGGGACTTGGGAGACCTACTCCATCTTCACAATCCTTTCTCTCTTACGTTACTCTATTAAAGACGAGGGATTCCCCCATTTGTCGAGGAGAGACCCCTCTTCCTTTCCCCACCACGTCGATTGAAAGAGGGGGAGAAGGGGACCCCTTTTATGGGTGGGCGTGATAAGAGTCCTCTCTCGCTTTCCCCTCTCATTCTTTCAAACCGATCGAATGAGATGGGCTCTATTCGTCTCAAAGGGTGAGAATTTCTTTCCTTTAGTTGTTATCAACTATTTGACGTGATTAGTGTCCCATCACCTTTTACTCAAAGAAGGAAACAATCATATATTGCCATATGACTCATCGAAAGTTTTAGATCTAGTGACAACTGTCTAATCCACTCTCGAGGATCTGCTGCCATATGTCCCAATAACTTACATGTACAAAAGCACTTAATGAATTCAAAATAAACAACATTTTAAAGATCTTTTCATACCTATTCCATTTTTAGATTCTTCTCACGATGGAGGCCAACGAAGGAGAAAGTCCTACCCACCTTTACTGGTGTCAAGATTATTTGGAGACTCAGCTAAATAGCCTATCTCAATTGGAGAAGAGCACAAATAGGGACACTTTCAGTTAGGGTTAGACAAAATTTTCAAAATAGATGGAATCAAACCTTGGTTCAATTATTCTTAAATTAAATATTCGAATGAGTACTAGAATCGAGAATCGAAGAATTTGGTTGGGTTCTCGATTCTAGAACGAGAACTGAAAAACAAAATAAGAATCGAATCTCCCTTTTTTAATATTAAATAAGCTAAATTATTTTAAATTTTTCTAAATAAATTTATCAATTAACTAATTAAGTTATTAACTGTAAGTAACCAAGGCTCCAACTCCTAAGGGCCAAGCCCAACTTGAGCCCAAAATATTTTTTCTACAAATTTTAGCTCGAGCCCAACTTCACTTTACAATTCGTCTAACACTCAACTATTCTATCATTTAGGTTCAATTGTTATCCTCATTTTCAGGCAAGCGCCTCACTTTCTTTAAATTCGAAATCCATTTGGTTCTTTTGAATCTTGCTCGAGTCGGATGATAAAAAATTATCATGTCCGGTTCCTTCGGGGGATGGATCTATAAGAATCCCCGATTCGATTTCATACTAATGTAGTAGTATACAGAATTATTATGATTTCATTGAAGTTACAATCGAATCGAATCCTGTCTAGACCTAATTCCAGTTATCCCTAGTCAGAGAGAAGTTACAAGAGTTGATATCATTATCGTATATCTTATTTGTAAAGCTATCAAATGTTTAACAAGATGTTGAGTATTTGTCAAAAACAAAAATGCCCTAATGAGATTAGGAAGCATTTTTGGACATGTTCAAATAATATTCTGAAAATATTGTCTATTAAAGAGTTTTTAAAAGAGATTAATTCAAAATAACTTTCTCTAAAAGCATTTCTATAAAGATTAGAAGCAGAAGTTATCTCATATAGGCTTCCAACTGAAAATTGTCTTCATTTTTGGGATACAAGAAAACAATAGTGTCACAAAAATTGGTTATTTGAGCATCTTTCTAATTTTTCTTGAAAGCTCCATAAAATTTTACACTCGTCTATTCTGTTGGCCTAACACCACCATAAAGAGGTTAGCTATCTATTATTATTCGATGTAAGACAATGGCAAGCAAACCCATTCAATATAAAATATAAAAGTTTGATTTATATTCTATTATACAATATAGATTCAATCTCTATTCAACACTAAACTTCGAGTATTTAAGTTGATCAAAAATACTTCTTACCTGTATATTTCGTAGGATTCAAATATACTACTCACTTTTGTATCATTCATTCTTATCTAGTTATAATTAAAACAATTATAATCTATTCCGAACGTACACTTGTCTACCATTGACTTGTATGTGTCACATGTACCTTCCATGAAGCTCTTGTATAAGTCTATCCATTTGATTGGCTAAACGGAGGTCGAATTATATTATTTCAAACTTAAACTTAACATATATTGTTGGGGCACGAGATTTAAGCAAACAAGGCTATCATGGGCGATTTGAGTCAATAGCTCTCTCAGTTGTTTAATGGTTGGACCATAAAGAGGTTAGCTAACTTGTCATATTCGACATAGAATTGCTACAAACAATCCTATTTGATATAATATACAAATTCGATTCGTATTTTACTGTACAATACTTCTTCAGTGCTTATCTATGGCTCAAAAAAGTACTAATGAACCGTCTCTCATGAACAGTGTACCTGCATTAAAATGGAACAGATAATTTATTAGGTTAAATAGTACAAAACTTCCTAGCTATTGTCCTTACTGTCGAAAATCCTGTTGTCTTTTGAAAATAGCACAAACGTCCATGTTTCATACGTTTCTTGTGGAATATCCCCTTATGTCACATTCCGTCTGTTTCGCCATTAAATCCTAATAAACAGGGGAAAATGAGAAGAAAGAAAGGGCAAAATCCTCATCTATTAGACATGCTACGCATAAACCCCTCACCTATTGAAATTAGCGAAAAAGGTCCATGCTGTCTATTTTATCTATAAAAAGATTGAAAACGACAAATATATCGTCCTGTTTAAATAAAACAAAAAGAGAGGAAAAAAAATTAAAAAGATTTTTTTTTCAAATAAATGCAAACAAATCCCAAATAAGTAATTAAAAAATTAAAAAAATCTCCAAATAAAAAAATTAGAATGACTTCCTAAAATACGTACTTACGGGAATGTCGTTAAACTCAAGCTAGTGGCTAAATAATTTTTTTGGTTATTTGGAGATTTTTTTATTTTTAATTATTTATTTTGGATTTGTTTGTATTTGAAAAATTTTGGAACTATAGTTTAAATTAATTTTTTTCCTTCTTTTATTTTTGTTTTATTTAAATAGGAGAGTGTATTTGTGATTTTCAATCAAGAAAATAGACAACAGTGACCTTTTTCACTAATTTCAATAGGTGAGGGAGGTTTTGCGTAGCATGTCTAATAGGTGGCAGTTCTGTCTTTCTTTTTCCCTCTATTTAATGAGATTTAACGGCGAAAGATTTTGCTAAATGTACATTAGCATGTACATCCGAGTGTTCATAATGGACACTTGGCATCGTGCCATTGGTCGAGGCGCTGTTAGGCCCTTACGCGATAGGCGCCTTGGCCAATGCTGAGGCGTCGGGTGTCAATAATGGACACCCCCGATGTGCACGCTAATGTACATCTAGCATAGTCGACCGACAAAAATATGGACACCCCCGATGTACACGTTAATGTACATCTAGCACGGTCGAGCGACGAAACAGACGATATATGACAGTAGGGAATGACAGTAGGGATGTATTCCACCAAAAAGGTTTGAAACAGGAACTATTTTCAAAAGGTAGACTGTTTTTGCAAGGCGGCAAGGGCAATTGACCGGGGGTTTGTGCAGTTTAGCCAAATTATGAAGATCTCCCTAAAGTTGATAACAATATGAGAGACATTTCGACCTTTTTTAAAATCTTAAAAACCTCCCTCTTAATATAAAATTTTCATTTTGCACTTCTCTCCTATCCTCTATATATTTTTTTCTTAATTTTAATTTAGATTAATTTTTGAACTTTTATCTGTTGTACAGAGTGCTAAATATATTAATGTGCCTTTTCAACAAATATGAATTTATTTAAATTAGTAATATTTAATATAGAGGTATATTAAGAAAAATTCAAGAAAATTTTATGTTTCTAATTACGTTAATTATATTTTCTTAATTTTTTGTGAAAATACAAACTAGCGTATCTTAATGGGATAGAGAGATTACGAAACATCATAATTATGTCATTTGCTCAAACCAAACGGAATTGGACAAGAAATAGAATAGTAAACAAAGTAGATGTCCATATTCCAATCCAACAATTTTTTTTTTTATTTTTTTTATTTTTTGAATTAACGTTGTTGTAAATGAGAGAAATAAGTCCGAGAATGAAGAAGGATTAAAAACAACACAATCGATAGACTTACAATATTTTAAAGATTCTAGTTGTTTACAAAGATCCCAATGATTACCGACAAAAGGACACTCGTACGTACCTATATAAAGAAAGCTCCTCAAGGGCAAAATTCAACGTTCACTGAAGTAGCTCTTAGCTTTGAAGTTGTTTTCTTGAAGGTGTTTCTGAAACATAGCCATGGATTCAAGATTTCTCTTACGGGGTGAAAGGACGAGAGATGAATTCGAAGAGAATTTGCGATTGACTGAAGAAGTTGATGAATCGAATCTTGAAAACACGAGAAAAGAAGAAGAAGAGAATTTGGGATTCACGGAAGAAGATGATGAGGCGACCACGTCGAAGAGGGAATTTAAAGTACCACTCGGCTACCGGTTTCATCCGACAGCAGTTGAATTAGTGGAAGAGTATCTGATGAAAAAGATCTTAAGACAGCTAACTTGGGACACTATTAAAGAAATTAATTTCTATCAATTGGATCCTCAACAGATTCCAATAAGTAAGTCGGAATCTGCTTATTCTCATGCAAGATAAAGCAACTCTTCTTGGTTGAAACTATTCTGTCCTGGAAATCATGGCTATTTTGCTGTCAACTGAAATTTTTTGTTGAAACTCTTCGACTATAAATGTCCATAACAGTTTAGACTTGTAGCTATTGAATAAGACGACTTGAAGCATACACACTTGAATTAAGCCATTTGTACTTGTTTATTGACACTTTGGGTTATCTGACCCCACCACTCTTTTCACATGAGGTTGGGTCCCATGTGGGGGTCATGATGTGGGGTCCGACTCCCATGTGAGAGGAGAAGGTGGGTCCGCGTAAACCGAAGTGTGAACAAATAAGTATAAGTAGCATGATGCTATACTCTTTTTCCTTCTTGCTGTATTTACTTTAGTTTAATCTAACGAGCCAAATATGAGCACGGGTCATCCAAATTGGATTCATATCAAAACCCATCAAAGTCCTACAATTTGTTAATACGGTAACTCCAATTGTTACAATATTTTTCGTTGTTCATCGACATTAAATTTGCTTATGTAATTAGGTGAATTCGAGGGTCTCAAGTATGGGGGAGAGGGCAGAGCATATTATTTCACGAGCGAAGAACAAAAATACGTAGAGGGATCAAGATTAATGCCAAGACCATTTTCTAATGGCTATTGGAAAAGATGTGGAGGGGAAATTCCAATTCATAATGGCTTTGAAATTATTGGTTTCAAAAGAAGATTTGTATGGGAAGAGGTACCTAAAGTAGAAGAGAGTAAATGGAAGATGACTGAATATAGTGTAACTCCCAGATTCATGGAAGATCTTTCTCAAACCAATGTAAGTTGTTTCTACTTTGGCGAAATTTTTGGGTCGAAAGCACTTTTAGGGTGTATTCAATTGAAATTTTTAAAAACTGTTCAGAATTTAAAGGTTTAGGAGTATTTAATGTAGAATTTTAGAGACTCCATGGTATATTTAATTAAAACTTTTTAAAAGTCTTTATAAGTCTTGGAATACTCATATTGTTTATTATTTTTAAAGACTTTTATAAAAGTCTCTAAGTACTAATTTTTTAAATAAAAAGTACTTAAATAAAATCTTAAAAATTGTCTTTCATTCTTCCAAAATTTTGGGAGACTTTCATAAAAAGTAAAAATAAAAATTAATATATATTTTGTTTTGTCCATTATTTGACTTTCATTTTCCCGTCTAAGAACATTGGAGTCGTGATTAAAAAATTAAAATTTTCTATTGACTATATGTGTTTCTTTTTTCTTTTTCTCTCTCTCTCTCTCCCTCTTTGATTTTTTAAGGAGAAAATCAAAAGTTTGCCAGACTTCTACTAAAAAAAATGTCCATAAAAATCTCAACTGAATACATCTCCCTAAATATTCTTTATAACCTCTTTTTTTGTTTTCTTTTTCATCATTTTTTATGAAAAAATCTATTTGTAATTAAAAACTATAAATTTCATATAAAAAAAAATGAATTTAAACATATTGATTTCTTGTTTACTCATTAAAGATACATCATATTGATTATTATTTATTTAATTACGATGATTTACATTTTTATTCTTTTAGAAATATTTTTTATTATATGGAGAGTAGGGGAGGGAAAAGAAAAATGTGGGAACCACCAACTAGTATGTGAGAATTTTACATTGTTGTTCTAGACTCACATGAATTATATTTTAAATAAAAGTTTTAAAAAGTCTTTTAAAATTTTATAAAAGTCCATAAAATTTTGAAATAAAAGTTTATAAAAGTCTATGAAACTTCCATTAGTTTCATATAGATCCATAAAAAAATCCAACAAATCTATAGAAGTAATCACTTGCAAAAAGTTCATAAAAGTTTTCAAAAATCCTAATTGAATACACCCCTCGGTCACCGAATTTCAGCATTGTTTAATTTGTTTTAGTTCAGAAACCATCTCACATTTTTTTTTTGAATTATTACAGTTGGAAAACTACGTGGTATGCAAAGTTCGAGACATGAGTAGGTACAAGAAGCATTTTTCATAATGGAAGAAAGAATAGATTAGGTCGAAAAATTCGTATTCACTGATGAATAATGTTATAGTCCACGAAAACGTTTAGACAAAAAGCATTAGAATCTTTTGTAATGATTCTTGAAAAACTATTCTCATCAATGTAATAGAATCTCTATTTATGATTTACTCTGTTGATGTCCCCTACACAAATTGCCTTTTGGGTCTTCAAGGTTGCAAGAACAATTGTACAATTTTATTTTTAAGTTGGTTATGTAAATTTTTCACACCCCGATATAATTCAACGTTATAACCCATAAGGCTAGAGTGAACGTATCACGCCACAACATATGCTAGTCGTGGAGTTCGTCTAGCCTCAGCCAATATCGTATAAACCAATGGCAAGTCGAACTTGTCCTGTCATTTGACAAATGAAGTATAGTTAGTTAACCCTCGTGCTATCGTAGTCGTGCTAGTAAACTATCAAAGTATTTATGAAGCATGCACAAGGCCAGACGAGGCCCCACCTAAGTTGATTAAGTAGTAGATATCTCCTCTTTTGGAGACTTACAAGCCAACAATAAATGCTAGTCATGAAATTCATTCTCGAACTCATTTGTACAAGTCATTGAACTTGACTGCACCAACCATTTGACACGTTCAATATATCTAACACGTCATTAAGAAATGTTGGCGTACTCTATCAACATATCCATTGGACAAATCGTAAAACAAAACTCTTACTTTATAGAAATACCTAAATACATGTAAAATAATCCAAAACAAACAAAACTTACTACTCATAATTTGAGTTTTTTTCCTTTTACAAAATTTTTCGAAATCAAAAGGGATCTTGTAAATTGTAATTTTACACAAACTTTTTTTCTCAAATTTCCCCAAACCAAAGCACCAGAAGAATATTTTTGTACAATAATTCCCCAAATGGTCCAATTATGAAGGCATAAAACCACAACTTTCCAGAGAAAGAGTTGCCGGGTGGAGGAATGGGTGAAATAATTTTATTTATTTTTTTGTTTTTTCAAAAAATGAGTGATTGAAAAAGAAAGAAAAATTTTATATTTAAGTGTAATATTATTTTATGAAAAATTATGTAATTAAAAATAAGAGAGGAAAAAATGAAATTTAATTTAATGAAGGCCAAACGGAGTGCAAAAGGGAAAATTTCATATCTGATGTGTTAACTATATCCCATTTCAAAATTAAGAAACGAGTTTTAAAATTTCAAAATTAAGATATTATTAAATTTTATTTATGAAATAATAAATTAAAAATATATTTTATTAATTAAATATATTAAAGTCACAATTCTATACATTTTGGTCACAAATTAATGAATGAATTGATCACAAACTACTTCTCGATTACAAACCAAAAATTTTATAAGTCACAAATTATTTCACGGTCACATATCAATAATTTTATAGGTTACAATTTATTTATCGATCATAAATTAAAAAACTGTTCACAAGTTATCGATCATAACTTATTTCATGGTCATGAAATATTCTCAGGTTACAAATTAAAAAAATTTATGATTACATTATTGGTTGCTCAAAGATTATCAATTTTATAGGTCATGTATTATTTATTGATTACATTTTAACTATTTAATAGGTTGCAACTGTCGACCTACCACAATAGAAACGCATCGCAACCCCCACCGTCTTGCAACCCACCAACAACAACCTTCGCCACTACCACCGCACCAGCACCACTTAAAAACCACTAACAACCACCATCATGACTACTACTTCACCACCTCCACTAAGAACAAACACTTGAAAACTGAAAACATGTTAACCACCAACAACTAACATCAAAACAACTACAAAAACTCTTATTAAGCAAATCAGATCGAAAAAGGAAGAAATAACACCCAAAAACCTACAAAACATTATTTCGTTGGGCACAAAACTCTACAAACCTACAAAACATTATTTCGTTGGGCACAAAACTCTACAGAAACGTCATATAAAATTTTAAAAAATATAGTTAAAAAATCAATATTTTACTAAAATTTTAAAACATGACCATAGTCATATCAATTAAATACTTCTGTATCATATATATTGTTTGATAAAAGGAGGAAAGGGAGACTGCAGATTCTCAATTATCATTATGGAAAGATTGCTGTAATTTATACACAGCAATGAGCCATAAAATTCAAGTACAAAGTGATATTGTGTTACCAAAAATAGATATGAAAAAATATTGCATTTGTTACTGACTGATTTTATTCCATAATGCCAAGCCATCCATTCAAGATATGATATCGTCCAATATTGTTCATTAATATGTAATTCTTATATGTACTAATTTTAGGACGAGTTAAGTATGACGATCAAATCTGGTGGGAACTAACACATAACTTCTTCATAAATTGATAAATCTACCAATAACGGCATAAGAATAAAAAAATATAGATTTATTTTAAAATTTAGCCTTATAATTCTTTAGCTATAATAGTTAAAGCCTATTACTAAAGTTAATTTTAGTAAGAGCAAAATTCAAGGAGACAAACTTCATTCATCGTATGATGTCAAGGAGTACAACTTAAGACGAATGAAATGCAGTTTTACTTAGGCTCTTACTGTCTTACGTTGTACTACCCGTCTTCGGACATATTATATTTATTTTTAGTTTTTGCGCCTTTAGTTAGATGTCAGATCGAACACTATTAAGAAGATATCTTGATTCAAATATAATTCTTTTTAGCAAGCATTTAGATACTGACAATCGCACACCATGACAGTATATCTATACCTAAAAACATCCAGCTATAGAAATTCTTTTCGTGTGCATAATTAACACCAGAACAGAGAGTTTACTTGGTCAAAAAATCGATATGCAACATGCTTGATACTGTTTGCATCTACAGCATTGACATATGGAATTCTTCGCCCATATGAATTAACTATACAAGAAATAAATTAATGCAAAAGGGTAAAACCCAATACTACTTCCCTAATAGGGTTGGACAAAACTAGAGCTAGGCATAACCCAGCCCAAACCTCTCAATCCGACCAACCTCGGTTTGGGTCGATTTTTTAAGTTCAATTGGGTTGGATTGGATTAGGAAATTGAATTTGAGGTTGGGTTGGGTCTAGGATTATGAATTAAAACTCAACCCAATCCAACCTAACTCGATGAATTAAAAAATTAATATCTAAGATGAAAAAATAATTTAAATAGACATAATAGTAAAAATAAGAGAATGACATATAATTTATAAACGTCTATTTTCTTCACATAGACCGATTCATATGAACACTATGTATGAATGCAATGTTATTTGACAACAAAGTAAAAGTTAAAGATATGATGATGAAATTAATGAATTCCAAAAAATTGTAAAAAATGAAAATTCTTCAAAAAATTTAAACTTATTTATACATTATTTTTAAAAAGAATTCCTTGTATATGTGTTTAAAAAACAGAGGTTTTCAAGTAATTTCCAATTCTAAAAAAATATCCAAATTTAACTAATAAACTGGATCCAACCCAAACTCGATCGGTTTGGGTTGGGTTGGGTTAGGTTTAAATCAATAATTGGGTTGGATTGGGTTGAATTTTTTTATCAAACTGACCATGTTAGATTGGGAAAAAACCCACCCGACCCACGCCCATCCCTATACAAAACTCCCAAACTTGACCCAACCAGAATTGAACTGAATCGAGCGATTCTTCTTAAGTTCAATACTCGAACAAATATCTGAATCTAGAATCGATGGATTTTGTTCGGTTCTAGATCAAGAATCAAAGAGCCGATTAAAAATCGAATCTCCCTAATTTTTTAATTTTTAATTTTAGATAAGTCAAATTATTTTATTTTTTTCTAAATAAATTTGATAAGTAGTTAATTTAGCTCAAACCCAAAAATACTATTTTTCTATTTCTATTTTCAGTCCAAGCTCAATTTGATTAAATTGACCTAAATTTTACCCAAATTTATTAATCTATCGTAGTGTCATTTTTACTCTTCTGAAAAAATTGAATTAAAGTTCAACAGCGCTTTTTCTTAATTATTATGAACTCATTATCTTCCTCTTTCTATAATTTTAACAATCAAATCTATGAAAAACATAACAAAAAGAGAAGCAAAAGATACATGAAATTGGACTAAATTATTTTGTAAGATCTACGATTGAACATATCATTAGTTGAATTAATAATTTTGTAAATATAAAAAAATTTAATTATAGCATAGAACCCGGGAACAAAATCGAACCAAATGGAACGAACCCGAACAGTTCTACAATTAAATTTGGGCCTGAATGTTTCATTTACTAAATACTCAAAATTTTCGAGTCCAGTTCCTCATTAGAATCAAACCTAATCATGTCCAACTCTAATCCCTAATCTATCTAATTTCCATTCTCAACCTAAAATTTCATTCGTTAAATACTTAGTTTATGTTTAGAAAGAATTTATAAACAAATAGAAATGAGTGGTGAATAAGTGGATAGTATTTGTAAATTCATTGAAATGTGTGATTAAATATAAAGTCTGACCTTTTGTAAATAATTAATAAATTTTGCCTAACAGAGTTTTTAGTTATGAGACAAATAGTTGGCAAAAAGCCTTTGGTTTGAATAGTTAATGTCAAAAGTAAAGCTAGACATGGGCATGTTTGGCTTATAATCGAACCGATCCCGAATTTTCAAGTATTTAATAAATGGAAACGTCGAGTCCAAATTTATGGAACCGTCCAAGTTCGGTTCTTCAATTCCATACAATAATTAAAATTTTTAATATTTACAACAATGTTGCATTAATTCAACTAATAATCTATTCAGTTTTAACTCTTACAAAATAACGTAATCCAATTTTATGTATCTTTCGCGGCTCTCTATGCTGAATTCTTTATAGATTTGATTGTTAAAATTACAGGAAGAGAAAGACAGCGAGCTCACAATAAGAAAGAGGTGTTCACTCAAAATCCCACTCATCAAATTATAAGCCAAAACAGTTGGATGAATCAAACGTGTTCTGCATGAACTTTGTAGCTGTGCTTCCAATTCTATTTTTTCAGAATTGTGGAAACGACTCTATGGTAGGATAATAGATTCAAATAAGACTTAGGTTAATCTGATTAAGTTAGCTTAGCCTAGAAATTAGGGGAAAAAAATATTTTGGGTCTGGATTAAATTAATTAGTTAGCAAAATTTAAAA